TTATTGGGAAAAAACAAACATTCTGTTAAATAAAGTCAGCAGTTTCCTTTTTGAGGGCGGGGGGCTGGGCGAGGGGGGACTAAGGGACAGGACCCTGAGAATCCTGGGAACAGGTCTGGTCTTGTCAGTGTACGGTCGAGTAACACCGTGACAAGAGCCTGGCAGGGCAGCATTCACGCAGCAGGATTTACAATTGTCAGTCCTTTAGCCTCATTAACAGCATTCACAGACACAACTCTCAACATTATTAATCATTCTGAGTGTAAAATCATTGCCTTCAGAAGTTACTCAAACATAGTTTCACGTTCCCTAGGAAGCTCTGGGTTTGTGGGCACTTAGACAGCACAAGACTGTCAGAGGTCACCCTTTGGCACTAAACGAAAGGTACTTGAGGAACGGGGGTCACTGACCCAGGGCACAATGTATATAGGGAGCTGCACAAAACAATGGATTAACCCCTGAGGAAGATGGGCAATTGGCAGAGGATGGAAAGGAAGGAAAAGCAGCTTGCTTTAGGCTGGGCCAAAGAAGGACATTTAACAAAACAGGACCCACTAGCCGAAACTAGTATTAGACAGATAAAGACAGCCTAACATGAGGAGGCCAAACCGAGAGGAGGCCATTAAGGCTCAATAGGTCAATTGTTTTTATGTTCTTAAGAGGCTATAAAGGAATTGAATTTCAGATGGATTTGGAAAGACTTTCCATTAGTGCTGCAGCCAATACTGACGAGTGCTGACACTGCGAAAAGAATTTAACATTCTATAATAGACTTTTTCCAGCAGGATGTTATGTCTAGGCCATCCAGGTTTCCCAGTGTAATTGTGTAATTGTCTTTCAATTAAAGTAGCATTTTCTTTTTTGTGTTTTGATTACAAAAAGACAATTTTCCTCAAATGCATCCAGAGAAAGGACACTCCTTACTGTTGTGTCGAACACACAGCTTTAAACGGGCTCGTTAGTTCGTCATTGATGTGGGGGGTTTGCTTCAGACTGTATAATGTAGTATGTATAATAGCAGATAGGATTTGAGGCAAGAGAAAGCTGTGAAAAAGAGACTGAGAGAAAGATGGATTTTTTTTATTTTACAACAATACAGTTCTAACTTGAAAAATGCAAACACTGAATAAATAAAACGATTTGGGTCCACGTTCTGGAAATCATACAGTTAGGAAAGTAAACGTCTTACACAGCTGTCAATATGGACTATTCAGAATCAAAAGTAAAACACAAAGCAGAGGACACAAGTGGGAAAATGTACAGTACTTAAACATGAGTAAAAATAGGTATTTTCTTACTCAAAGGTGTTGTGGGAGACTGGAACTAGCCACTCCACTATTTTTTGATGCCGACACCCAGGCTTCTTTCAAGAAATGACTGAGTAAGATCAGCTTCATTCTTTTCTACCCCCAAAATATGTACTTGTCTGTTACTTTAATGTAATTGAATCACGCATGCAAGGCCATCACCAGTAATTTATCACCACATTCTCCGACCTTTTAATGCTACAAAATCCCTCTACACAGATTGAGTAGTGGCACAGTTTTTTTTCTATTACAGAGAGAAATCCACCTTGAGATTAGCATTGTACTTAAATTCTAGAAATACCATAAAGGATATTCAATCTGTTATTTCTCATTTGACTTGACTGTCACTTAATTATGTGAACATGTGAGACTGAATTGTATTATGAATCATTATTGTCAGAAGACAAGGACAATATAAAACCAATACACATTTTTTGAATTTGAAGAAATGACATGCAACCAGAATCAAGCTTTACTGAAGAGATAGGTCAGGTCTTTAGCCAACCACTGCTTTGTCACCTGTGGGGAGAGTGTCAGTCAGCATTCTGCGTGGCTGGTAGTACAAGCTGAAGGACAAATTGTGACCTAGCATAACACTTACACCAAGGCCTGTCTAATATGTCTATCAGCGCTCTTATGTAACTACAGGAACAAGGGAGTGTCTGTCTGAATGTTCATGTTTGCCTGGTGAAATACTTTACTTTTTATAATACTGTACCAACATTTGAATGAAACCCATTCATTACCTTAGATTTATTCTTCTGCTCTTTGTTGTTGGCAATGAAATGGTTGTACTTGGGTTTTTTTTTAAAAACAGGACTCCCGAAGCCAATTCTCTAAGATGCCACACACTGTCCAATCCTGTACAGTATGTCCTGATACACATACTGTATTGGCATATAGGAAGTCAATATATAAGGCTTTTATTAGTGAATATCATCAGTTGGATTACTCACTAACATTATTTAAATAGCCATTTTATATAGTATTCAGCTATTGTAATTAAATCACCATTAGTCATTTGTCAGTATTCAGTTATTCTTTTCACCTGTCAGCATGCACTATTTGTGTGGGAGCTTGATTCATAGCAAAAATGACCTTGTATTTTGTACTCGAAAGGCTTGGCTCCTGATTTCATAGTGCATTGATTCAGACACAAAGCATATTCTGCAGTAATATTAAAGAAATGCATAGGGACCCTGAAATGGGAAGAGTGTTAGTTCTGTCTTCCTTAAAGTAGCTGAGTTTCCTAAGAAGATACTTTAAGTCTCTACTGGCCTTTTTTTTTATAAATGGTGTCAGAACATTTATCCCATCTTAGATTTTTGTCTATGACCAATCCCTAGTACTACTCATTTAGAACCTTTTTAATCTGACAATTAATTACAGTGGCTTGGAGGGGTGTTGCATGTTTAATAAAATAAATGATTCGTTATTTAATTGTCAAAACATTTAATATCAAACAGAACTCAACACACATTACTCCTATCCTGGAGTCCTTGCACTGGCTTCCTTTTATGTTTCATGTTGACCTCAAAATCCTGATGCTCACTTATAAGGCTCTGCATGGCTTGTCACCTCTGTACCTGTACCTGTTTAATTCTAGTCTCCTGTCTGTCCCCCAGGCACGTCTAAACTCTTTGGGTGACAGGACCTTCTCCTGCTGCGCCCCAAAGCTCTGGAATTCTATCCCTAAAGATATCAGAGAGTCACCTTCCCTGAACACTTTCAAATCTAGACTCAAAGCCTTCTTTAGAAAGGATTTTATTTAACTGGTTCTCTGTCTGCTCCTTTATCTTCCTACCGTATTCCAAACCCTCATTGTAACTGTAGTTCTGCTCTGCCTTTTTGCTCTGTAAAACATGTTGAGAAGCCACTTTTAAAGATGCTGTATGAAAATAAAATGTATTATTATTTAGTAAAATAATTAAGAATGGGAAGGTAATGATTTGTTGAGTCTTTTAAAAAGCTGTCCAGTGCTGTGCCTGTTTGTATGTTTGCACATAGAAGCATTATTGTACAAATTGTACAAATAATGAGGACAAGACACAGCCCTGTGTGATCCAGTAGAAGTGTAGTGCATATCAGGTAACCATTTACCCACTTACCACTCTAGAAGCCATCTTATCAGGTTATTTTTTAATAAGACGTTCTTTAAGAGTTTCTGTGCAAGCATCTGTGTTTGTATTGTATTAAAAGCAGAGGAAAAATAAAAATATAAGATACATATATATATTATAGGATTACAAATATATTTGCTTGGTCAAGATGCTGATAGTCTAGATTTAACAATGTGAGTATTGTGCCGTCTACTCCCCTCCCTTCTCTGTAAAACTGCAGGGGGTCAGTAAGGTTCTGTATGCTCTTTGTAATGTGTTGCTTCACTATTCTCTCCAGAGCAACTGGCCTGTACTGTAGCTTTTAAGCTCATTTGGCCCAGCAGATTTGGAGACTTGTATAATGATACTGCAGATTTCTTCCTTAGAGAGAGGATGATTTGTAAATTTAAGATCAACTGAAAAAGCAGACTAAAAATGTCACATAGCTGATCTGCACAAGATTGCAGAACTTGTTGTTATTACTCGGCAAATCTTGTTGCCAAACTGATGATAATTACTCATATGCAGATGTTTTAAAATACAATTTATGCTGTACATGAAGCTATGCAACCCTATCAGTCTTAGTGTTATACATATAGTGTATACAGTATATAAAAACCCACATACTGATAACTGATAACATCAAACCATAGAGGGGGATTCTGTTTGACAAGGTACACATATGGATAAAAATCTTTTTTTAAATGACTACTGGAGTGCAAGAGATTGGAAGAGTATCCGAGTTTGGGGGATGTGACACACATCTGATCTGAAAGCTGTGAAATATTACACAGAGCTTCTGAACAGCCGACTCTGCCTCTGCATATCTGCTGATCTTTCAACACAGCATTGTCACATATCTGTAGCCTTGAGCTCTGTTGGCTGTAGTCCCAAATACCTCAGCAAAGCACTATGCACGTGTTGTAGCCTTTTTATTTCTCAGATGCTAATATGAAATGTTACTAAACAGTATTGTGAAGCTCAAATAAGTAGGTTGTTTGCCATTTTAAATGTGCAGTATAATACTGTAAATGGTTGATCGTATGAACCAGTTTTAAGTATACAGTAACAATTTTAAAATGTGACTTAAGTGTGATTTCTTACATCCTCTTCCTGGTGAAGTAGCAAACATGCCATTAGCCTTGAACATCTTTGAGATTGATGTCACAGTCAAAACTGGGATCTTCTGGATTTCTTTATACTGTAGCTCTTACTGGAGCTGTTGATGTTTGATTGACTAAATCAGGGGGCTGCTGTACAGTGTAAAAACCTAACACATAATTATAAATGCTGGTATGTGTAACTCCACATACAGTTTCTTGAAAAACATCTTCAAATTGCTACTGTAACTGCGCTGATTTCACGCAGAGAAAACGAAATAGTTTCATATACAGTATCTTGAAGTAGGGCTTAGGCATAACTAAAAGGAGCGGACGACACTGTCTTTGCTCCAGGTAATATTTTAGAGACCTTTAAAAAACCTTGGTTTTTAAAGTTTATCAAGATCATTGGGGTTAAACATTCTACGTATTTTAACGGTCGGGTAATTATTTTTAAATTAACGGTTAAAATCACATAATCATCGAAAATAAAAAAAACACCGATTGTGTTAATACTTCATTCGTCTTTATATATTTCCTGTTAATTATTAACAGGTTAAATTTCACAAAGCAACCTTAATACCCCTGATCCGGTATATTGCCAATTTGCACATTCAGCTGTATATAAGTTAGCTAATCTGGTTGCTCTTTGCACAATCATCACTTTGCCAGTCTGCTTATCTAGGACAAACCAGCGCCTTCCTGGTTACAAACCATTAAAAGAGATACATTTTTCTTACTACTGTCAAAATAACAACAAAAAAATGTCTCACGGATCAGTAAAGCAAGAGTCTGTCTGTTGGGAAACGCAGGAATCTGAAGATCATACTAAAACCTTCATTTATACGAAGAAAAGGGGCTATGAAATTATACGCAACTCGCACCTGAATAAGGTAACGCCTTTTTGCAAATCGTTTGAATTTTAATCGTTTTATTAAGACTTGCTTTTCTTTTTATACAATTGAGTTACTATACACGTATCGAAGTTGTGATTTGTTTTTAAACATGTGGATCAAAACGATCACCGCTTAGATACAGCCACAAAGCATAGTTTGTGGGAGGGAGGTGGTGGGGATATAAACTTTCATCCTTGCAATCTGTTTAACATAGCATTTGTATACTAAGCGCTTTTTCTTTAAAATGCTGGATTTAACGCACAAGGAGTTCTGTATCAAATAAGCTTTAAAATCTCTTAAATATCATAAAATGGATTCTGAAAATGCACCTTAATTGTACCTTGCTTTTATTTTGCTGCGTCCACCTACAGTATACTGTGTTTTAGAATTATTCCTTTTCTCCTTGATAGCCAAGTATCATCCTATATACAGTAATCGGAAGCTCTATGTTGTTGTACTCAAATTAATTGCGAGGTGAAATTCGCAGCCAAAGTGCTGTATTTGTAAGCAGAAACGCAATACAAAGTTACATTCTCTTGCTTTTCAGTCTATTCACCCTGAAGAATTGCATCTTCAATTGTTGATTGTATTATGAACCAACATCTACTATACTTTGAACAAGTTATTAAAAATAAATACAATTGCAGCAACGGGCTCAGTATTTCTGAATTTATCCCACGACACCTGCAGTTACTTTTTTTTTTTCCTACGCCCCTCCCTCTCCCTTACAAAGGGCAACAGTTAGGATAGCACTCGCCTGGCCTGTAAAGCGATTTTTGAGAATCCAACCACCTCATTTTTCGGAGTTAAAACTCCAATTCCAAAACCCACCTAATACGTTTTTTTTTTTTTTTAGAACGTGTTAATCATAACCTATTGTGTATTGCACTGATTTTTCTATTGAGACCAACGTGGGAGATTTGATCCCAACAATATTCCACTCACATAAGTAATGATTTACCATCTGAAAGTTTTAGCGGGCAAAATTGCTCAAGTGCTTAAGTGGGGGAAAGTTCTGTCTTGTTGCTGCTGTTATTAAGATTGTCAACTCTGCAATGGCTATCACCTTGCCTAATTTGGGAGAGGACTCTCCAACCCTGGTCCTCGAGATCTCCAATCCAGTAACTCGGATGTTTTTAAAGATGTCACATAATTTTACAAGTTACCTGTTTAAGGGTGACCCGGCTTCCCTCAAACCTGTTGAATTGAGGTTCTCCAGGACCGGGGTAGAAGGTAGGGACCTTTAAATAGGCAGCAAAATCTAGTACCTTTTTTACTGAGAACTCTCCATGGTGCTGGCCCTTCACTGATGATCCGAAAAGGGGCACTTACCTGCATCTCTTCCACATGACCGTACAAACGCAAGTTGCAGTCAGGGGTTAGGAGAAGGACTTGGCATGTACTGTACCAAGACCTTGTAACTCAATAGTTTCTGCAGCGGAGTCAATGCTTTGAGAAAAGCGGTTATATTCTAAAGTATTAAGGTGGGGGTGTTATTTGCTCTGTATTAGACTTGAGTCTCTCCTGAAATTGGGGCAAACATCATGGGTTTCTGCAAGGCCGGTTTCTGTTCATTAACGGTGAACACTTCTTGGTGTTCAGCAACGGGGCAGGTGAAAAGAGTACAGAAGAAACCCAAGTGGACCTGGAGATAGCTCACAGTGAGGGTATTGCTACAAATGGTCCCAGGTGTGTGATTCTTGTTACTTTTTCTGCTTGTCCTGCCAATATACTGTGATTGCTAAACTTGTTGCAAGTAAAGCAAGCTAGTAGGAAGCTTGGAACTGGTGCAGATAATTATTTTACTAAGGGTTGCTATGGAAATCTAATCATTTTATAAATAACTACACTTGGTAAAAATGAGCCTTTTGCCTTGCCTAAATATGACTAGTTAACTATTGCACTAATACTCTTTAAAAAAAAAAAATGCTGTTGGCATCCACCCCTATTCAAATAGGTGGGGTGGAATTGAATAGTCATTTTACAATAAGAGTCAAAGTATCCTCTTGTGTTTATGATCATGTGCAAATACTTCTAGAAGGATTAAAGCATATTTCCTGGAATAGCATGGATGGGCATTATTTCCAGGCCTTGAGCTCTTTGTATAAAGTTCATCCCAACTTTAGCCTTTGTTAAGGCCCCCCGTCTGGCAGTAGTAGATTGGAGTTATGTAGTAGTAAGTTGGTGTATGTAGACCTACAATTGATCTTTGAGTTGGGGAGGGGTCATTTTCATTTCTAATTTCTCTTCCATTTGAGAGATGTAAGGTATCTCATGTCTGATTAGAAGTTTTCAAAAATTCAGTTTGCTGAGTTCTGGGGGTGGGAGTTAATGAGTAAACTGCGTGTTAAATGTGTATCAATTACAGGTGTGATATTGGTGCTTTTGGTTTGAAGTAAATAAAAAGAGGGGGGATAGCGGATCAACTAGCCTGTTTATCCTGTAAAGAGCTAGAATAGCTGGACATTTGTTGGTGGGGGACAAACGTTTTAAAAACCTAAAATGTGTGACTTTTCATTTGGAAATAAACCACTTGGTCAGCCTTCTTGCTTGACCCTTTCTGTGTGTATATATAATTTTTGCAGTCTTGGGTACTCATTGTGAAGAAACCTTGCTCAAATATGAATGGGTACTTCCTCCCGAGACTTCTAGACGAGTTTCAAATGATTGCAATCAGGATTTCTGCAAGTATCGGAAAAGCTGAGAAATGATCAACAGCAGTGCATTTAATGGTTATTGTGTGAAAAGTACAGAGTAGGAGAAGCCATGCTAGCTCTACGGTGTTAACTTGCTTATAATGATGGGTTAAATAAATTCCTGAGTGTCCTGCCCGGCTGCTGGATAAGTTTGATGGATGACATGGCAGCCAATATCCAATTAATCTTGAAGGGCCTTCAATCCTGCCGTGAGGTTACAAAATGGGACCTGAAATTGGAATAGTCTGATCAGAGAATGTGTAGCTTGTTGTGTGATTGTATATTGTCTTATGTCTAAACACATGTAGAGTATGATGGTGTGATATTTTCCAAAACCAATCTGTTTTAGTTACTGTAGTGGTTGGCAAACATGATCATTTAAAGATTCAATTAAAATTACAGAAACTGAGCTTCTCTGAAATGAAAAGCTGGTATTCGTAGGAACACTGCTTACTGAACAAGGACCTAAGTGGATGCTGCCCGTTGATCCTACTGTACAT